TCATTTTCCCCTTTTTATGTATCCTCTAACCAAATGAACTCACTTGAAAAGTCATTAAAAACCAGGTTCAAGGTATGAACACAACATGTTGACCAAAAAAATATGCTCGTACATACCTTTTCGACTTCTTTTCCCGCAACTTTACAATTGGTGGCATTGTCCGTCACAACACTGAGAACATTACTTGGGCCCGACAAAATCAATGGCATTGCAAAGGAATTCAACAATTGCTTTACATGTTATCCACTTTTTCATATGTTTCATCAATTTTTAAGCCTTCTCCATCACAAATTTGATCAACATATAAATTGGCTTCATGGTGCTTAAAATATTTTTCACTTCAACCCAAAAGTCATCACATCTAATATTGTTAACAATCTAACCATGTTCTAGTGTGTTCATTGCCTTGTTTCAACCACTCTCTCCACAAATTAAGGTCAATTGTTGTAGAAATGGTCTCTCTACAAGTGATTAACCTCCTCAACAAAATGTAATGAGAGGCAAATTGGGTTTTTGCAACCTTCAAAAGCTCCAACTTTGAATTGTCCCTAAAAATAGTCAAAGCTTGTCCATGATTTATAAATTATTTGACAATCATTTTCCCCTTTTTATGTGTCCTCTAACCAAATGAACTTACTTGAAAAGTCATTAAAAACCAGGTTCAAGGTATGAACACAACATGTTGACCAAAAAATATGCTTGTATATACCTTTTTGACTTCTTTTCCCGCAACTTTACAATTGGTGACACTGAGAACATTACTTGGGCATGACAGAATCAATGGTATTGCCAAAGAATTGAACAATTGCTTTACATGTTTTCTCTACCCTAGAAAAGTTAATGGCATACATGTACATAGAACATCGACTGTTAACAACAAGAACATTGAGCAATGGTTTATGTTTGATATTTGACCACCCATTGGATACTACAAAAAACATTGTATGAATAACATGTATCTTTATAGGTGGAATTTAGAAGTGGTTTAGAAGTACGGTAAATTTGTTGTTTCAAAAAAGTTATAATAATAACATGTATCTTTAAAAGATGTCAAGTCATTCTCAACATCTCTCACACATTCATCTAGTAGAACAGTTCTTGCTCTCTCACTAGATGGAGCTTTAGGGTGCCTTTCTTAATGCATTTACCATCTCACAAATTTGTGGATTAGGCAAAACGGTGTCTTTGTTAATGCATTTACCATTTCACAAAATTGTGGATTACGCAAAACACTAAACTAAATCCCATTTGCACATAAAGCCCTCGCAATTTTAAATCTACCACAATTCTCTCCATTATGGCAAAAGATTTCTCTATCGGTTTGTTAGAGCTCAAATTATGTTTATTTGTAAAAACACAACTTTTTAGGGATTTAGATAATCCTTCCTTTTCAACCTATTCTTTTGCAACATTTCATAAGTGTCTTAGTCTTTCATTACAACTTGAAACCTTTTAATTTAAGCTTTTTTCTGAGCTCGGCACAAACAAGGTGAACGTAAATTCAAATGTATGAGCTAGTAAATGTTCCATGGCAATGTTTACAAACTCATTTGATTCCAGAATGAATCAACGAATTCTAGTAAACGACGTACAAATTCCAGTTCGTTGATCCCATTTGATTCCAGTTCATAGTTCGTGTCGGAATCCATGAATTCCTGTATCGGAATCAACGGAATTGTCGCAATCAACTTTTGGGAACATCAATTTCATCTTCGAAAACGCAATCCTGAGGGAACCGATACACGAACATACCGCGTTTCAGTACGATCGATAGTACGATCGATCAGGTACAGAAAATGTGGCTATCCCAACGAATTATGTGACTACGATATAAATTTCAAGGAATTGGTTGAGATTTTTGCTAATCGTTCCAAGTTATTTGTAGGTTTTGTTGTCATTTGTAGAATATGAACACTATCGACTCAAACTCGATGGTAACATCCAAAGGACAATCAAATTCAAATCCATCTAAATTGAATTATGTTTAATCAAATATTCTCTTGAATAAATGATATAGCTTGAAAGTATGTTATTGGACCTCAAGATGAAATACAAAGAAAGTTTGTATATTTGTACCTTAGTCGCAAAAGCTTTCGTGGTGGAGGCATTAATATAATAAAGCAAAACACCTAGTTGGAGGGAAAGGTAATGTTTCATCATGTTTGAAGCTTCCAGAAGATGTCAAGTTTGCAATGTGTTATGCAAGAAAATACTCAAGGAAAAAGAAAAAGAGAGAAATGTAGTGGTGTGTATGCTTGATGATACTTTAGGAATGAATATAGAAAACATGAATTACGATGATGAACTTCAAAATGCTCAACCCATAATCATTCCCGAAATATCACCATACATACCACGTTCTTTCTCTTTAGTTTTTTTGAGATTTTTTTTTTGCAAAATATATTGCATGAGAAACTTGACATCTTCAGAAACTTTTAAATATGATGCAAGGTGTTGCTCCATAATACTAATGTTTACTATTGATGATCTTTCTAGACTAGTCATACTACTTCATAAATTTTTTATACCAATTTGAGAAAGAAATAGACGATCCTAGATCCCTTATGTTGCAGAAGAGTACATTTCTATGAGTTCTCCACTGAATTAATCAATGATTATTTTGATACTTTGCGAAAATTCAAGAATCCAAAATAACCTTTGACATCAGCATTAAAGAAATCACAGAAGGTAAAAAACACATGGCATAACCCATAAATAAAATGCAATCCAAGCATTGAAAATGAGTGAGACAAGAACAAGAAGAACCTGAGAAGAAGTAAAGCCATAACGAACACATATGTGATTTCTATGTTACACAGGCAAACTGCATTGTAATCTTGAACATAAACAAGCTTCACCTGCAGAATGTAAGAAAAACACGAAGACATCTTGAAAAAAATAAACAAAAAATAACAAAGTGCTTTCATTTATCTGTGAATTATGCAGAACGTAAGATCAAACTGGCAATAAAGTGGCAATTAAGCTCCAAATGTTGAGAATAAAGTTCAATAAACTATTGTAGCTCACCTTATAGTGTGGATTTTACAGCTTCTTTCGCAGGATATACACATCACTCTCTTCATACGCATATTCTGGGTGTAGATGATCATGTGGCACTTTTTCAACATCAAAAATCAGATTACATTGCTCCCAGAATAACAAATGAGCTTCAGGCGACCTCACTTGATACCCTAAAAGAACCACCCCTGTATCACTAACCAACGACTCCGTCGCCGCCAGTAGCGGCGCTACCGATTCCTCTATATACACCACATCAGCCGCGATTACGATGTCAAAAGGCGGTTTTAGGGCTTTGATTTGGTCCGAATTAGTCCAATGGAGTTGCGCCGTTTTTAACATCTTACCTAACACAGGCTTGTTGCGTTTCAAATTGTGTTTCAGTGCCGGCATGACGGGTGCGATGTCGGTCAGGACGACGTCTTTGAGGCCGAGAAGGTACAGGCCCATGGCGGCTACACCGCAACCGGTGCCGAGTTCAACGGCGCGTTTGTTGTGGAAGTGAAGAAGTGTTGCGTAGGGGTTGTCGGTGGTGGAAGTGGAAGAGAGCCACCGCTCGGCGAATTTGACGAGGACGAGTGAACAAGGCCAGACGGTGGTTCCGACGTGCATTGAGCCATTGTCTTGGTGAAAGGAAAGCTTTGAGTTGTTGACTGTGAGATCGATCACTGGTGAATCTGTGAAACGCATTGTGCCCTTTCCGACCTTTCTTTCTTCGCTCTCCTCCTCGGCTGTGCGAGTTTGTTGTTTATGTATTGTTAACATTGGGCTTTTTACAAAGAAGCCCAACTTAAAAATCTAGACCCCAAGTCCCCAATACACAATGATATTCAAACAACAAAATTTAAATTTGTGACATTTAATCACCAAAGTGTTAAACTTTATAAATCATATCAATTGTTTTTTCTTGGGCACGTATAATTCGATTTTTTTTTCTATTGTGTTATTGCAATCGGATAGAATCAGTTTTACTGGTTTTGTGCCTACATATCAATGTGGTAACAATATGGCATCCTACTTCGCTATAAACGTATGAACGCATTTATATTTTTTGAAGGTGGGTCGCTTGACCCACCTAAGTTATTTTTTCCTACAAGGCTATCAGGAACACTCACACTTAACCACTCTAAAAGTTTTGTCAACTAATCATCACCCCGTTGCTATTTCCTCATCATACACTTAGTAAATGGTTACCAATCCATATCACTTTTATTTTGTTTGTACTTTATGTTTTAATATCTTGTACATTTAAGGGAGAGGAAAATAAGAAGAAAAGAGGGAGAGACAAAGAAGGAGGTAGTCAAGTGTGGTTCTCACCGCAACCAACCACAACCACTTCTCATTATTTATATATCGGGTGGTGGTGTTTACATCAATAACGCCCCCATCACTCCACCATGACAACCTCACTCCTGATAATCTAAAATATTAAATAAAAATATAAACTGTGATTTAATTAAAATATTTGAAGGAACTACCTTAAACCACGAAAAAATTGCGAAAATGCTCCCTGTGGTTTGTCAATTTCTTTAGGTAAGGTCCAAAAAAAGTTTATTAGCAAAAAAGGTCCCTATTTGGTGGTTTTATTGTGGTTTTGGTCCCTACTTAGTTAAGTTTAACAGTTTGTATGTTAAGTTTTTGAAAATGATGATTTTACCCCTAGGGACCATTTCTGTAATTTTTCTTTTTCATTTTATTGAATTATGGTACATTTATTCTTTTAATTAATTCTTTCTTAATTTCTTTCTTATTGGATTATTATATATTAATAAATATTATTTTAATATATTATATTTATATATTAATAAATATTATTTTATTATATTATATTATTTTTTTTAATTTCTTCTTTATTGGAGTATTTCTTTTTCTTTGGATTATTATATATTGATAAATATTAATTTTATTATATTATAATTATATCTTAATAAAAAATATTTTAGTATATTATTAATTTTGCTAATTAATTCTTTTAATTTCTTTTTTATTGGATTAATTATTTTTTATTGGATTATTATATATTAATAAATATTTTTTTAACATATAATATTTTTCTATTAATAAATATTACTTTACTGTATTATTAATTTCTTTTAATTTTTTTATTACGTTAATTCTTTTTATTGGATTATTATTTTTATATATAAAATAAATATCATTTTATTGGATTAATAATTTATAATGTATAATATTAATTCTTTTTAATTTTATTGGTTCCACCACAAAGTCCTCAGAATACGCAAAAGTGTCGCTTCTCATCGTCAAAAATCGGCGGGACAACCGCCAATCACCTTCATCGATTGTTCGGCGAAAACCCCGCCAACTTGTTACACCCAATGCCGCCAATAGTCTAAGACAACCTCATCACAATCCGTCGGAATCCTCTATATTTGCCACTAAGTCGGCCATATTCTGCTACAACCACCAGGAGGTCCGATCCAAACACTCATCGTCAGCGTATAATATTAACTCTTTTAATTTTCGTTGCCTTCTACCACCTTGCATCGCCGTATCATCTCGTTGGAAATCGTCGATCATCGCCTACAGTTGGCCATTCTCAACGAAAACTACACCAGTCGACTACCCACACAATGCGCAATAAACCCCAAAAAAACATATAGCCAACTGGTGTAGTCGACTACCCACACAATGCGCAATACCCTCAATCTTATTGTATTATTTTTTTATTGGATTATTATATATTAATAAATATTATTTTTAATATATTATATTTATATATTAATAAATATTACTTTATTATTATTATTATTATTTTAATTTCTTCTTTATTGCATTTATTCTTTTTTATTGGATTATTATATACTAGTAAATATTATTTTTAACATATAATATTTATCTATTAGTAAGTGTTAATTGGATTATTAATTTCATTTAATTAATTTTTTTAAATTTTTTTATTGCGTTAATTATTTTTATTGGATTATTAATTTAAATTTATTATTTTTATTTATAATAAATAATATTTTTTAATTTTTTTAATTTTTTTTAATTTTCTTTTAATTTCTTTCTTTATTGTTTTAAATAAAAATACCAAACACTCCTAGTCAGATCCTCTAATCGTTGCTTTTTACCACATTGCGTCGTCGTATCATCTCGTTGGAAATCATCGATCATCGACTACAGTCGGCCATTCTTGACGAAAACTACACCAGCCGACTACCCACACAATGTGCAATAAACCCTAGAAAGCATACAGCCTCCAGCCGACCATTCATTACAGATACCGGCATCAATGACGACACCGAGCATTTTCAAACCACCATAGCCATTACATGTGGTGGCAAAGTTGTAGAACTCGTTATTTGGTACTCGTTCGGCCGACCGCCGAGTAGCGAATACTCGGATTTGGTAATTGATGTAGAAATATTTTTAGGGAAATTATATATGTCAAAATCATAAGTTAAAATCATAAGTTTATTGAAATATATAACAAATTTAACAAAAACTAAAATACACACGATGATCTCACTTCATTATAATTACTGAAATTATATATATATATATATATATATATATATATATATATATATATATATATATATTGGATTAGTGTCTAAGTCCA